TTTGCTTTTCTTTCCTGTTTCCTTCCTCCGCGAAGGGTTTACCGACGGCCTGGACAAGTGTGGGTTTGCTTTGAAGGTGCCTGAGCCGAGCGTGCCAGCAGCCGGCTGCACATGTTTCCGCTGGCGGCTGTGCCGAGAAGGTGGACGTGGGCTCAAGTAGCAGGTGCTAAAAGCCGAGCCTGGGGGCGAAAGCTCTCCGTTTGTGTTTTTCCATTCTTCTGACTGTGCCCGCTGCAGCTGTTGCTTTGGTTTTACGAGCTCTGCTCAGAAATGTTTTACAGTCAAAGCACTGAAATGTTGCTTTTTCTGAGCCCTCGAGTTAAGGATATTCTTGTGGTTTGAGGCACAATTTGGGGGACGAGTACTGCGAAGGGAGGGACGGTCTGGTGATATAAGTACCAGCCTTTCTTGATTTGCTTGTGCGTTTCCAGATGTTGCCTTCCTCTTAAATCCTTTTCACTGCCTTGGTCTCACGGGCCTTTTTTGAGCTTCTGGTTAGCCACGCCGTGTTCACTGACCTCGGGGAAACGGAGGCCTTACTCTCTGGGGTGGAAAGTAGTAGATGTTGAGCTGGACTTGCTACCGTTACGCACAGCTCATGTATGTTTATAGAGCTGTTTGTCTTTGTACAGCTAAAGCAGACTAGTAGCAGCTTCCTCGTCTTTGTCTTCTTCCTAACGTGGCCTCCAGTTTGTGTTTGTCTAAATCCTTAAAATCCCTGGTTTTGGGGGGACTCGCTGTTGCTTCAGATCTTAACTACAATCAGCGTATTCAACTCAACCAATCCTTGGCTCAAGTGGATTTAGCAGCTCTTGTCCTAGCCTTGATGGACGAGAAAAGCAGAGGTTTACCAGCTTCTAGCAGCTGTTGGTAAATTTGGAGGGTACCATATCTTTTTGTCCCTTCTTGGCCCGTTTTTCTTTTCCAGACTGAGCAAATCCAACCCGTCCAACCTTTCCCGGCTGAGTTGAGCTCTCCCCGTCTGCAGGTGAACCCTTTGGGTAGTCCCCTTAAGTGAGTGCATCCAGCTCACAGGAGCCAGGTCAAACCAAGTCCGTACGCTGTGTTTTGCCTCTTCCTGACTCTTAGCCTGTCTTTACCATAGGCTGCTCCATCCTAGTGACCCCCCAGGCCTTGTTGCTCATTTCCAGGGCATTTCTGCCATTCCTGGCTTGGTGGGCCCCTTCAGCTGACCTTGGAGTTCCAGCTTAAGCCATGGCATTAAATCAGCTCTTTTTTAGCAGCCATTTCATTCCTCCATCTGCAGCTATTTCAAACAGACGACCCTTACAGCATGGGCAAGTTATGCACCTCCAGACCAACGTCCAGGACTTCGTAGCCTTCGCAGTCTGTCTCTTTGCGTGGGGCGTTATCGAAGCATTTGAGCGTCTGAGCCCAGGAGGTCACTTTCAATCTATTTCTGGTCTCGGCTGAAGCGTAAGGAGATGGTTTGGTGATGGGTTTATTTTTCTTTCTTATTAAGGCTATTTCTTCATGAAATAGCAGAATGGAAATAGTAACTCATCAGCCGTCCAAAAAGAAAAAAAAAAGATGGGTCTATTTGTGTTTCTTGCCAGATTTATTTCTACCTGGGAGCAGGCGTGCTTGTGTGCTTCCAGCGTGGCACATGGATCTCAGATGGTTCGTCCTTTTAATAGTATGAAAAATCATCTGTGATCTGCTGGCAAAGGTCAGCTTCGGACCAGCGCGTATTTGGAGTTCCTGTGTGGGAAGTGCGAGCTGTTAATCCTGATCCTGGTGCAGCGAGTCTGCCTGAGGGAAAGGTCAGTTTGCCGCAGAAATCCGGGTTTTACTCGGGTAGGGTTTTTCAATAAAGCTTGGTGTGACTTGCACCTACGCTTGTGATGGCTGAGGGGTTGCTTTGCTCCTCACTGTTTAATAACTGTTGCTCGTGCATGTCGGTGTTGTGCAAACGCAGTGCACATCCCCCAGAGCGGATGTGGGCAGGGGCTGGAACACGAGAGCGGCCAGGGGGACCCTTTGTGGCAGGTTCCTCTGTTTTGAGGTTTCCTTTCAAAGTGTCTGAGAGCATCAGCTGCTCTCCCAGGGGGGGATGCTGAGCCGGGTGGACCAGTCTTGACAGTTCCTCTCTTCCCAGTGCTTTTGGGGTGGGTCCGCACACTGATGGACTGGCAAAAGGGAACGCGTGGCACAGTGACTTTAGTCTTCCTTCCGCTTGCACCCGGCTTTGGTTTCTCCTCCTTCTTTCTTGTACCCTTTCCTGTCAAGTTTCTTGGTTTTGTTTTTTGTAGACTTGATGGTTTGGGTGCCTCTCCCCCTCTTTCCCAGCCGTGAGTATCCCGCTGTCTGAGCACCATGTGGTCGGGCAAGTCGGCCTCTTCTCAGGAGCTCGCAGGGAGCGTCGGCGCAGATGGGGCAAAACCGACGGAGCCCTTCTCAGCTCCTGCCCTCTGCTTCCCCGAGGGGAAAGCAACGAGCTGCCAGACTAAGTAAGAAAAATCCATCCCTAGTGTTTTGCCGCTGAGGGAACTAAGACCCGTAAGCACGTGGGTAATCGCAGCGCGTGCCCATGTGATCGGATCGATAGGTGTAACTGCTAGGCCTCGCTGCCTGGTTCTGGTGGCTTTGTGGAAATAAATGAGCTAGAAATGGTCGGTTGTTTGTACGGAGCCTTCCAGCGTTCGTCAGTTCTCAGTCGGCTCTTGAGCTGTCTGGAAACATGTGCAGTCTTCTCTAAGTTCAGCTTTCACTCTGCACACTATTTGCTTGATTTCTTGCTATTTTAGGAGCATTCCTAAGGAAAAGTAAGCTTGTTCTTTGCTTTTTGCAGCCTTTTAAAGGATGGAAAGTGACTGTTGCTGCGATGAATTTGAAGTCAGTGTTCAATCTGATCTCCCTCGATGCGGGTTGTCCTGTTTACAGCTCTGTCCCCAAGTCTCTGAACTTCTGTTGCTTGTCAAATGTTTTCTCAATTAGGGAAGCCGGTTGTGTAAGAAAACACGTTAATGAAAAGCCCCGTTAATGAAAGCTCTTGCCCCTAGAGGAGCTGCAGTTTAACACTTCAGTTTGGTCGGGGATGGCTGGAGGGTTTAACATGATCCAGGGTGTTAAACTCTACTGATGGCTGGAGATAAAAACCCTTTCAAGCAGGGTCTTTCCCCAGGCAAGACTGTGCTGTGTGACTTCTTGTCCTCCAAGACAGGCAGAAGCTACCCTTGGGATCTCTGGCACTGTCTTGCAGAAACATCAGTACTTGGGGTCCCTGGTGAGGCTGAGCGTCAATGGCCGTTTCCAGTGCCGTTACTGGGGTCACCGGGAGTATTGCCCACGCTCCAGTAAGGCCTTGCTCAGACCTAACTGGCCTTCCTGCTGCACCAAGGCTTATTTTTAGGATTCTTAATGGTCTTTGCCTTTGCAGCTGGCAGTTCCTAGGTGTGCATCCTTCAGGACCTGCAGCTAGGCACCTCACCTCCCGCTGAAGAAGGGACCATCACTGTTGCAGCCCTGGCCCCCGTGATGGCCACCCGCCGTTCCTTTGCCCCTGGCTACCTTTTAGGTGTTACTATCCCCACCTCCCCGCTCGCGTTGTCCCGGTGGTGCGGGGAAAGACGCCCTTGGCCCGAATGCCTCGCCTGAGAAGAATGCAGACAGTCTGGCAGAGCGCAGGTTAAATAAAGTTTGCCTTGGCAGGGCCCGTGCTCTTGGATGTACTGTGAGCTGCCGGGGCGTAGTGGTGACGGAATTGCAAGCACGAACGCCAGCTGCCAAGAGGAACGGGTCTCCTGGCCCTGCTTGCCGACTCCTCTCCTCTGGGACTCTTGAAGCTCTGGCAAAATCGTGAGCCTTTTCCCTACCGCGACCCCGTGCCGGCGCTCCCCTCTTGGCTCCGGAGCCTTCCGCTGATGAGGATGGCAGCCGCAGGCCGTTGGTGCTGCATCCTGGTTTTCCCAAATCGTTGGGGACCCTCCTGCGTGGTGTCAGGGATTCATCCACTGGCCTCATCTTATCCTGGGGGGAAAGATTTTTAAGCGGCGGCAAGTTCTGACTGATGGCCGCGGCTTTTGCTGTTACGCGGGGAAGTGATTTCATGTCCGGGAAAGAGGGGCTTCATGATGGATTTAGGAACTTTCCCTGGCCAGGGCTTGGGTGGCACGGACACATCTCTCTCGGGCAAACACCTCCGAGACCCTTCTGTGGAGCAGCGTTCCCGCGGTCTCGGGATTTGCAGGTTGTTGCCGTATAAAGGGCGCAGTCGCGGCCCAGCAGGAGGGCCGACCAGCAGTTCTGTTGGCAGGTACCTAACTTGGCTTTTAATAGATGTGCAGTGTGGGGTTTTGGACGGGAGCAGCGATGATTTCATTGCCTGCCCCCGCTGGAGGGAGCAGGGCTGGACAGCAGGCGAGCAGGGGGATGAGAGGAGTGCGAAGCAGCAGGATATCGGTGCCTTGCCATCCTGAGAGCGTGCCTTTTGGTCTCTAGGCGAGACCTTCTGGACTTTTTAGGTAGCAGAGGGACTGACGAGAGGAGCACTGGTTGCCAGGCCGTGCTTGTGTCCTTCCAGTCAGTCCCAGGGGTTGTTTAAGAGGTAAAACACCGATTTTGGTGGTTCTCCCAGCCCTGTCTCGACTCTCTCCCCTGCTTGTGCACGGGCATAACTTAGGAGGTTAAGGCCTGTCGTATTCCTTAGCCGTGCTCCCTTGAGGGACCAGTTACTCACTTGGTTTCCTGTGGGCAGCGGAGCGACGGAGCTTTTCATGGCTGTTGCTTTTCCATTGTGACTTTGCATTAGTGTTTCTGTTTATAAGATGGGGAACGTTCACATACTCCTGCTTCAGAGGGAAACTCAGCCAATTAATACTTGTGAAAATGTTTAACATCCAGACCTGGAAACTGCGTGTGAACTTACCCAGCAAGCTGATTTACCCCTCCAGGGCCTCTGATGGGCGGAAAGCTCCTGAGTTGGTACCCAGCTGGACTTTTCCTGACCTTTCTCTCTCCCTTTCCCTCTGTGCCTACAGGTGGCTGGAAGTCCAGGTGGTTAACCTGACCTGCACCCAGCGTTGGGTCCAGTACCTCCAGTTGCTACAAGAATCCATCTGGCCTGGAGGAGTTTTACCAGCAGTGCCTAAACCAGCCAGGACCGAGGAGCAGAAGAAAGCAACGGCAGAGCAGGCCCTGCAGAGCCTGATGGGGATCTTGCCTAGTAAGAATGCCCCAGAGATGTACCAGCTGCCCTTGGGATAGGAGCCGTGGGGGAGGCTGAGGAACGCTCCAGTGCACTGGTATCTCTGGAAATGCGGTTCAACACAGAGATGGAGTCTGCTCGTGCCTGGGCAGTGGGAAATGTTTGTGACCTTTGAGGTTGGAATGGTTTCCTGCAAGCAAAACCCACAGTTTCCCGGTGCTGGGTAGTTTGCGCAAGCAGAAGAGAGAAGGGACGTGTGCCTCGGCGATTCCCCGGCGCGGAGTGGCCGCCTGCTCTGTGCTTAGCGCTGGGGGCGCAGTTCCCACTGAGCCACCTCCAACTCAGCAGGGCTCAGGAAAGGCAGTGCCACGCTGGGCTCCCGCCTGCTGCCCAAGGGCACCGGTGCTGGGAAGAGTCATAAGGCCAAGCCTTTGGCTTTTCCCTCTGAAGAGTGGCTTTTCCACGGGATGAAATCACGAGCCCAGCTGCACTGGATTTCCCTCTCTTGAAGTCTGACACGGGGACCTTTGGCGTTACAGCAGCTGCTGCCTAATCCATGTGAGCGCAGTCTGAACTTCTAACTCCCTGCTGCAGCGTATGGGGCCCTTACTGTCCTTTGGGGATGAAAAAGCACTACCAGTATGTGCCCTTCCAGCCTGGAACACTGTCCTGGGATTCAGTCCTGTCCCTAGCTGGTTTTTGTCCTGGTCACGTTGGGCGTGAGATGCCTTGGGCTCAGAGCACCGTGCCAAACTGTGGCTTAGTGCTGTCCCGCAGGAGACTGACCCTGTTTTACTCCAGTGGATATGTGAAGTGCCTAAAGCTTTGTCTCTCTCTTTGACAGATGTCGTCCAAGAGATCCTTGGAACCAGTAAATGTCAGATGAGCTGGAACCTGGTACTGGAGTCCCTGGGCCAGCCTGTGATCAACAGGTACGTGGGTTATGGACTCTTGACCCTGATAGCCTTTGCGATGGGGCCCGTAAGCTACGCTCGAGGCTTCGCCGTGAGATTTACGCTGCCAGCTTCTTGGCACAGAACATACCTGGCTAATTATCCCAGACTTACAGTATCAGAGGGCATCTGGCTTGCTTATTATGAAGGTACATGTCTAGGACCTCGGTCTGGCAGGAGATTGAGCCACTCATGTTAATTTTGTTGTTGGCCTGCTTAGTTTGTGGATGTTAGAGAAAATATGACAAATCCTGGTTTAGTTTGTGGTTTTTGGAGGAGCTTAGGGAGCTGCGTGTTTGTGTAGATAGTGTTGTTCTGTATACCCATCGCTGTGCAGTGGGAAAGCACTGTTTTTGTGATGACCTGCAGAGCAATGCAGGTGCCACCTCACTCCAGGAGATGCATTTGTGGGGTTTGTGCTGCTCAGCAGCTTCGAACACCCACTGGTTTGGGGAGCGGAAAAAAAAAACCCTGAACCATCCCTTGAAACATTTCTTCTAGGTTAGAGTTCTTTTGTCTTTCCCCTGATGGCAGTGAGAGTACTTCGTCCTTGCGTGAGCTTTGGCTTCTGCGTGTCTAGAGCTGATCTCCCAGCTCCGCTGTGCCCTGACCAGCCTAAGCTTTGTCTTCTCTCCATTTCAGGCACCTGGTTTTCTGCCTCTTGGACGTTCTGCTGGAGTTCTTGGTTCTGAAGGGCTCCAGCGATGAGCTTGAGACCGCAGCTGCCGCGCCGTCTGCTCCTAGTGGCCTGGACAAAGCAGGCATTTCAGCGCATTAACCAGGGCTGGTGTAGCCAGCAGTGGAGGAGAGCAGCAGCCACAGGCATGGGATAATTTGATTTTTTTTTAGTGTTTACTGAACATGTCTGGGATCTTCTTATAAAGAATTTTTCCAGCCAGTGCTAAATGAGGCTGCTTCCAGGCATCTCTGCTTCGGCTGGGTGATGGATTAAACCCAGTGTCAGGGGCTGAAGATTCCTTCTGCCGTGTAGCGTCTGTTCCTTCGCTGCCCTGATGGAGAGCCTGCGATGGAGACGCCCGGCTTCTGCTGAGCTGGACAGTCTGAGGAGGATGTGCAGGCTGCCCACAAACCCTGTTGTCTTGCCCCACGTTTCTGAACACGTCTTGACAGCTAGAGGCAGACAGCACATGACACCTGCTTTTGTGGCCTCAGGCTCCACCTGGCACTGGCCTGCAGAGACTTGATGGGATGGCGTCTTGTTGACGCGTGTTTGTCCAGGACAGGTGAAGGGAGGACCAAACGCTGTCCCTGCTCTCGAGGCAACCTGCCCTGTGCCTGCGCCGCACCGTCTGTTTTACAACAAAGACGACAGGGAGAGAAGGGAGGGTGGAGACGAAGTCGGCCTCAGGGACCCATCCCCACTGCCTGAGTAACTGGGGAGTCAAAAGCAGTGCAGAAATCCAAGCTGCTGCCCTGCCTTAGGGGCAAAGATAAGCTGCCTCTCGCTGCCGCTACTCTGACGTGGTTTTGTTCTGGCGTCTTTTGCTGCCTGAACAGCAGGATGCCAACAGGGTAGACCGTGGTCTGCGGGAAGAGAGCTGTCGCCATGCTGAAGAGGAGCAGTATCTTCGCTGGATTTTAGGATTACTCTGTATTTTGCCTGCTGAGTCGGGTTTTAATCCCAGAAGGTGTCACCTGGAAGGCCCAGGAGAAAAGGAGCAGAGCCGTGTGTGACACATGGAAACTAAATCAGCTCCCATGCGAAAGCCCGTGTCACAGCAAGCTCTGGAAGAGGAAGGAGCGCTTCTGAGCCCCGGAGGAACACGAGACACGTGTCATGCACAGCCAGTGGGTTAGACCACGGCCGTGGGCTTGAGAGCACCACCTTAGCTCTGTTGTTGCTTGCTGTGTCACCATGCTTGGGTTTCCTACGCCTGCTGTTGCCACAGCTGTGTGCAGAGGGCTCTGGAAAGCCTGTCCGGTCGCCATGTCCAGTGCCACCCAGCCCAGAAGGGCGTCTTGATTTGGCAGCTGCTTTTCTGGGTCATCGGAGACTCGAGGGATTCTGCAAGCTTAGGCTGCCCAGCTGTCCGGTTTGTGACAGGGCGAATGGACACGGAGAATGTGGACGCAGAGCATGTGCAGCAGGCTGTGTGCAGAGGGCTCTGGAAAGCCTGTCCGGTCGCCATGTCCAGTGCCACCCAGCCCAGAAGGGCGTCTTGATTTGGCAGCTGCTTTTCTGGGTCATCGGAGACTCGAGGGATTCTGCAAGCTTAGGCTGCCCAGCTGTCCGGTTTGTGACAGGGCGAATGGACACGGAGAATGTGGACGCAGAGCATGTGCAGCAGCGGACCAGTCCTGCTTTTCTGGGTCATCGGAGACTCGAGGGGTTCTGCAAGCTTAGGCTGCCCAGCTGTCCAGTTTGTGACAGGGCAAATGGACACGGAGAATGTGGATGCAGAGCATGTGCAGCAACGGACCAGTCTGGTGACCTGTGTTGGTGTAT